TCTCATAGAACAGGAAATGATGCTTTGGGGGTGTACACTAGAAGTTGAAGTGAAATTGGATAAGATCAGAAAGTAATGAGAGACCTTCTCCCGCCAACAAGTCCATCTTTCTATACAGAGGATGAAAATGAAGGAAGTCACATCCCACGTTTATTTAGAGAGTTCCAGTTAAAATTACACATAACCCTGAATTGGAATGACAATGGGAATTCCGCCTTTCTGTCATACATACTGGCACAGGGAAAGGCAGGAATCTCCATGCTGAGGCTGGACTGTTTCTTACTGTTGACCTAGCTCCAAATGAGCTGGTATCCAGAACACTCTGTATAACTATGAACAGACGTGATTCCATTCTATTACCTAAACACTTCCACCCCTAAGGAATTTTTTTCTAAATTTAGTAATATCTTAGTGTATTCCCAGACTCTTGTCTAGGTTTGATCTGAGGGTCTATCCTCAAACGAGGCACTAGAAACAGTCCATTCACAAGCACAGATTGTGCCGCATTCCAGTTACCTAGTTCAAGGGCTCCAGTTCCCTCCCTCCTTAGCCCAGCATCTCTGTCCCCAAGACCTCCTCGTGCTGGTGCCATCGCAGGGTGCAAGCAATTAAAGAAGCAAACAATTAAAAAGCAGGAAAGAAGTGTTCCCAGAAATCTTAGGGAGTCCCAGCAAAGCTATCACATGACACTGGAGAAACTGGGGATCCCCCTTTAGGCCTTGGGCTCATTAATGAGAGAATTTAAGAACAAACTCAAATGCAAGAGAATAAAAGAATGGACTCAAGCAAAGCCCGAGGACGAATCATTAGAGTTTAAAGGGAACTCTGGGGCAGGTGAGGTGTGGGTCTCACACTGCCTGGAGGAGGGAAATAAAAGCAAGAACTGGCATAGAGGTCTGCTACAGGTGGAGAAGGAAACTTTAGGGAAAAAGCAAGGAAGCTCCGAGTGTAGAGTTCTGACAGTATCCAAAAGAAAAGTACGGAAGGAAAAGAAAAGAGGAGGATGAAATGAGTCATGCCTTTCTAAGGAAAGCCCACAGAGCCAGCCGAGCCTTCCCTGGAGAGGTCTCCAAGGTTTCCTGACCTGAGGGAAGGAGACAAGGGTGTGCCTTGCTCACTTGGTGGATCATGTGACAGCCCTCCGCTCAACCTCCCATCTTTCCACTCCACTCAGGGAAGCATCACCTACCAGCTGGCTTCCATCAATTTACTCCCTGTTTAACGGGCTCAGTGCCCAGCTGGTGCCTTAAAAAAAAAAACCCTACATTCCACCAAACTCTGAACATTCCTGAGAAACAGAATGCTCTCCATTGTTGGGGTCTTGCATATGATGCTCTCTCTGTCTACAATGTGTGGTTCCGCCTTCGTCTGGGCAGCTTCTCTTGACACTTCACAACTCAGCTGACATTTTGCCACCACCAAGCAGTCCTGACAGCCGCTATACACCATTCTGGGCTCAATGTCCCTCCTTCTGCTCCCTTAGTACTTTATGGATGCAAGTGCCATAGCCAAGATACAGTGAAAATTTACTGTCATCTTTGCACACTTTCTTCTTCAACCAGACAAGAACGTATTGCAAATAGAAACTGTAACATTTGACTCCATGTCACCAGTGGACTCTCTGGCACATAACAAGTGTTCATTAAAAACTGTTTACTGAGTGAAGACACTCAGAGTCTTGGAGGAAATATAGTTACAAACAGAGGGAGAGGTGTAACTGATGAACAGCCTGGAAACTTTTTTTGAGAAGGTTGACATGTTTGAGGAAGATACCCCAGAAGAGACAACACTTAGGCTGGTCTTGGAAGATGCAGGCCTGTGAGAAAGAGGTGGAGAGAATCTTGATACCTCAGTCAGTATAGCATTCCTTCCGTCGGAAGAGTGACTGTGATGAGAACTGGGACAGCAAGTGGCTGGAGAACGTTGTACTGACCCAGGTACAGCCCAGCATTGAGTTGGTACACAATTGGATGCATAAGAGAGTCGGAACAGGTGCAGAGAAGCTACATTTTTTAAAAGGAGTCTGAGAGCTGGAGAGATGGCTCAGCACTTAAGAGCACTTACTGCTCTTGCAGAGGGCCATACTTTAGTACCCAATACCCATGCCAGGCACTCACAACCACCTGTACCTCCAGCTCCAGGGGATCCAATGCTCTCTTCTGGCTTCCACAGATACCACATACACATGGCACATACATACATACATACATACAAAATAAAATAATCATAACTTTTACTTTTAAGGAGTGCTGCATGACCCCACACTTCTGACTTGCAGGAATGGTGGTACCTATAAATGTGGCAAAGCTGGGGATGTAGCTTCACACTACTGCCCCCCTCCCAGCAGCCTATGGTTCCCCCTCAACCCTGTAAGGATCTTGACTCAAGCTAACCCAGGATTCTTGGCTTCAGAAAAGAATTTCAGAATGAGCCATTATGAAACAGAGTTGGGGGTTTTAAAAATAGACAGGTACTCAGGTGAAGCATGATGCACACCTGAGAGTATAGGCACAAGCTTCTAGAGAAGCGCGGCCATTTATTAAAAGGCATTTTTGGCATAGATTTTAAGCAAGGGGATTAAGAGGGAGATGCTCAAAGAAAAATTAAAACATACTGAAGTGTGGGTGTGGTGTTCTCAAGGGAAAGTCTCAATTACATGTCTTAGCAGTTGATATATACCATTTTGGTGGCTCTCAAATTACATCTCAAAGGACTTCCAAGAAATATCCTTTCTTCTTTTCTCTTTTGGCAAGCGAGATAATAGGGCAGCTCCAGATGTGCATTTGATGGGATTATAATCTGACAAGGTAAAGCCAGGAGCCACTAGGGTTGCACAGGGCATTAGGATGTATGTTTAGCTATAAATGGGACTCCAGGAGAGATTCCCAGAAAAGCATAGGTTTACAGCTAGGAGGAAAGAGAGGCCTTAAGTAAACTTTGATTGTATTAGAATTCTTACTTTCCAGCTGGCAAAAAACTTCAGCCAGACTCCAGGGTCTTTTTTCTTCCTCTGTCCCCATAATTTCCCCTCCTGCCTAAGGACAGGGGAATCCCAATCCTTAAAGGCTAGACAGCAGCAGAGAATCTGCTTTGGGGGAAGTTGGTGGCGCATCCACTGCTGAGATATCTGCTGGCTGTCCAGGAGAAGGTGTCCATGAGTTGGACATGAGTTGAGGCATGCAGAAGAAAGAGCAAGGAGACTTTCTCTGTGTGACTTAGCCCTTAGTGTTCCATAATTTAATACTGTGCCTGTAGTGTGGGTGAAGACTCCTTGAGTTCTTCTAAATGTTCCCACTTTCACTAGTAATTTAGATGCATAGCCCCCTCACAAGCCACTTGACTCCAGGACATAGCTCTTCCTTCATAGGAAAAGTGACAGTTAAGGAAAACATGAAGAGAGAATGTCTTAGTCAGGGTTACTACTGCTGTGATGAAACACCATGACTAAAGAAACTTGGGGAAGAAAGGGTTTATTTGATTTATACTTCCATATCATAATTCATCATCAAAGGAAATCAGGACAGGAACTCAAACAGGGCAGGAACCTGGAGGCAGGAGCTAATGTAGAGACCATGGAGGGGTACTGATTACTGGCTTACTCCTCAGGGATTGCTCAGTCTGCTTTCTTATAGAGCCCAGCACTACCAGCCCAGGGATGGCCCCACCCACAGTGGGCTATACCCTCCCCATCAATCACTAATGAAGAAAATGCCCTGCAACAGGATCTTGTGGAAGCTTTTTCTCAATTGAGGTTCCCTCCTTTCAGATGACGCTAGCTTGTGTCAAGTTGACATATACTGGCCAGCACAGTGACAGTAACCTTTAGTCCTGTCTTCTGAGTTATTCTGTGTAATATGGATGCCACAGAAATGATACCATCCTCTTCCACTGCCCCAAACCCATGCCTCTAGAGGCCACCAAGCGCATGAAGGGAAATCCTTATTGTCATTATATTGGAAAGGGTATGGGCCTCTGGATGAATCCTCTTTAGACAGAGATGCCATTTCCTGTTAAGTGTGTTGGGGTTCTTACTGCAGTGCCCTGTTGCCATGGTGATAGCAACTACCTGTTCCTCTGTCCAATCCACCTGACTGTAACTCTTGGTTCTCTATGCTTTATAGATATCAATTAAGATGAGATCTTCTCTGTTTAAGAAACCATCTACAATAAATTTTTGCAAAACAACTCATTGTATTTTCCCTGACTAATTTGTCTTAAGTAATTTGCCCTGAAACTCAATATATTTTAATTCAAAGGCCCATGACAATAATGATCCTCTGGGAGTTACATGGTATGTTTGTAGTTGAAACTCTTTGTATCCTAACATCTATTCACAAAAGCTAAATGGGAATTGCTTATGGAGCACAGGCGTTTTTTGACAAATCCAGAGGAAATAATGCTTCATCAAACAGCTTCTGGCAACCAGGTGTGAGCATGGAAAAGATTTCACAAGAGCATTAGTCATGTGCAGAGACTAGAGGGTTTCATTTGTAATTCAAGGGACAGTGACAGAGAACTCGTCATCGAACTGGAATATCAGCTAACTGATGTTTACTGTGAAGGCAGTACTGCAATAGCACCCAGAGAAATTTAAATGACGCATAGCAAATATTCTCAGAGAAGCACAAAAACTAATCATTCCTTCCAATGTGCTAAACAGATACTGCACAAAGCCAAAGCCTGATGATGTGTTCAGTGAAAAAGCCTTAGAATATTTACTTCTCCATTCAAACAAAGCTGCCAGAATATTTTGAATTGTAATATCAGACCTATTTTCCAATTTCTTTTAATGCCCAGTTTTTTAACTGAGGCCACTGCCATCCTAGCTAATGATGAGTGGCGCGGCCTCTGATGAAGTTCGTCGGATTCAGGGTGCAGCTATGACGAGCCTTTTCTGAGAGGCAGTCAAGCAGCTCGGTGCTCTTTAGAAATGGGGTGATACTTGAACAGTGGGAACTACACACCACCTTTGCCTGACTTCACTTTTCTGTAATTGACAGGTAGGAGATCAAATCATTGAAATCAACGGGGAAAGCACCCGGGACATGACACACGCCAGAGCAATAGAACTCATCAAGTCCGGAGGAAGAAGAGTGAGGCTGCTGCTGAAGCGAGGCACGGGACAAGTCCCGGAGTATGGTGCGTTTCACGTTTCCATCCAGCTGTGTTCTGCTTTTCCGTGTGTTACAAATGTGCAGGCTTTCTTTTTGGTATATAAAAACGCACCTGTCCTCTATTGCTACCAGGATAGGTATTTACTATCGGGAGATGGATAAGCACACATGTCGACTTAAGCCCAAGATATATGTGTGCAAGCCCTTTCTTCAGCTGGTGAAACTAGGAAATGTTTGAAATATTGAAGGTGTGAGCTTCCAGGGCATCTCTGAGTGTGCAGGGAGAGCCAGCACCACTTGTATGTGGGACCCTTTCTAATTAGACTGATAGTGCTCTGTTCATTTGAGACTGCAGTAATTTACCAGTTTTTCTCTAAAATCACACATGCTTTAGACAATCCTATAGGATTACTAAATTGGGCCAGGGGATGAGTCAGAGCCAATCTTCAGGGTGTAAAATTTAAAATGCTAACTTCAGCTCATTCGGTGGCTGCTTTTCCCTGACATTTAGAGATTGTTCAAAAAATTCATTCCTATGCTGTTTTTATATGCTTTTGAGGAAGATTTTCATTATTTTTTTTTTGATAAAACAAAGCATTTAATTGGGAGCTTGCTTAGAGTTCCAGAGGGTCCATTATCATCATGGCAGGTGGGAGGGGCATAGCAAGAGCCTGGTGCCACTCAGGGCACTGGAGCAGTAGCTAAGAGCTACGTCCTGATCTGCAAACAGAGAGACCTGCCTGGGTGGAGTGAGGCTTTAAAGGACATTTTAAATCATCGTTTGCTTTCAAGAGTCTTTAAAGGTGTCATTTCCCAGCAGCCTGTTGGAGGCATCACCAACAGTGTAGACAGTGTAACTGACCCAGCTGAGTGGCCCTTACATGAAAAGCTTCACAACCCAAGTCATCTTTGAAAGTATTTTCAGAGCCTAGGGACATGGCTCCGTGGAGCACACATGGGCCCTGGGCTCTACCTCTAGCACCTTAAGAAACAAAATAGAAACATTTTCCAGGGAGCATCAGAGACAGACAGAGAGCAGTGACAAGCCACACAGACTATCAGGGTACCAACAGGGGCTGGCCACAGGCCTCAGTGATCCCTTCACCTCCGCCATCTGTAAGAAGTGGCTCACTTTTGGCACCACCCGGTTCCTACCCAGAAGACTTTCTAAACAGTATCTTCCCCTTTCACACGTGCTTTTTGTATATGCTATATAAACAGCTACTGACACTTCCTTGTTAGTAGGGCAGATCAGTGCCCTGCAGAACTCAGCTAAAATCTCGACATTCAAAGGCCCTCACAGACACCCCTGTGTCTCCGAAAGTCCCTGCATAATGAGCTAGCAGGCTCTCGTGGTGAGTGGAAAGCACCCTGAAGCTTCTGCAGGGCCAGCTCTTTTGTGCCCAGGGAAATACTTTATTCCATGTTCCCACCCACAATGCTTAGATCTAATTAACTATTTTTAAATATTGATAGCAGCAAGAAGCATAGGCTTGGTAAGGAATTTGAACTCCTAGAATAGAGTGACTTTGTGTGTCCTAAAGCATCAGCTGATTCAACAATACCAAAGTGACCTGTGAAATCATATCACTTCTGAAAATATGCCTCATCTTAAAGGTGTGTTTCACTCCATGCCAAGACTTGACTATTACCTAGTGAGGAAATTTTGAAGTTACCCTAACAAGTGAATCTTTACAAAGTTGCTCTGTCCGGATTCACTGCCCTCAGCTTCTTGTTCCTTTTCGAATCACTGGTCCGTGCTTTCAACATCCGCCACACCAGCTGCTTATCTACAATGAGGAGGTAGAACAACCCTGAATCATACTGATGCATTATTCCCTATCTACTTGAGGAGAACATGAACACATAGCTTTGGAACAAGACAAAAACCCAAGACCCTGTCAACATTATTTCATTCTTAACATCATCCAAAAGTAGCTGGTTCAGTTGAATTCTCAAAATAACCAATACAGAGAATCTTTCAAATATATGGGCACACTTTTAGGGGACTCCATATCGATATTATTAGCTACTATGATATTACAGATCTCGCTTTGATTGTCTATTTTTCTAAAACATCCAGTTATATTTGCTGATGATCTCGGCACTAACTAGCTGCTCTCTAAGATGTGGAATTTGTAAAATTAGTTTAGATGTGATGAAATGAAAGGAAAAAGTTAGAGCAACGTGATCCCGTCAGGAAGTAGAAGAACAAACATAAACTAAGCGGACCATAGCTCTTCAGGAACATTGAAGCTGAGTTGTGAGCAATGACGCGTGAGGAGTGAAGAAGACCGAGCATCGAGTCTACATCTTGGATGATAATGCCATCACATGGTTTTCCGGAGTTTCATAACAACTAATGGCAGGGCTCAAAGGTTCCCTGGGTGACTTCTGGGGCATAGACTATAGCTGTACAGACTCATAGCAGACTCATATGGAACAGAAAGAAAATTCAGGCAGTTGCTGGAGGCATCAACATACAGACTTCCTCTGTTTCTTTTTATTTTATTTAATTAACTTTTTTCATTTATTTTACATACCAACCACAGTTTCCCCCTCCCTCCTGTCCTCCTGTTCCCTCCCTTCCCTCCTCTCTACCGCCCCCCCCCCCCAATCCATTCCTCCTCTGTCTCTATTCCGAAACGTGCAGGCCTTCATGGGCTTGAACAAAGCATGGCACATCAAGTTGAGGCAGGACTGAGCTCCTCCCCCTATATCAAGACTGGATGATGTGATGCAGCATGGAGAACAGTTTCCCAAAGCCAGCTAAGCGCCAGGGACAGGTCCTGATCCCACTGCTAGGAGCCTTACAAACAGACTAAGCTACACAACTGTCACTCACATGCAGAGTGCCTAGGTGGGTCCCAGGCAGGCTCCCTAGCTGTTGGTCTAGAGTCAGTGAGCTCCCATGAGCACAGGTCAGCTGTACAGACTTCCTCTTATGCTCACACTTGCTCTCCTACGATGTCACCCAGATTGTATATTGCCCCAAGCAACAAAAATATAGCAGTGGACCAGGGGATCCATTAGCAGCTCAGCACACATGATTTTCACCGAGGCTGGTCATGCAGGCACCCCCTTGCCCAGCACATCCCAAAATTCTAGACTCCTGGAAGGAAAGCAGATGTTGAGTACAATCACGTCATTTGTATCAGCCATTTAAGGGAAGTGAGACATGCTCAGCGTTCAGCACAAGGCTCATATTAGCATAGCAGATGATTTACAGCCATGTTCCCAGCATAGAGCCACCCTCATAAGCCAGCATTTCTGAGCAGAGTGCTCCCTGGCTTGCTGTGTTAACTTTCTTCTGCATCAGGAGCAGACCAAAGACAAGACTACATTTATGGCTGCATAAATGATCTCAATATAACAGTGTCCATGGCCAAAGCAATTCCTCCAGCATCAATAAGAAATAGACTGGTCATGAAACCATTTTTTTTTTAGTTCAAAATAAACTGGAATGCATTTTAATAAAAATGTTCCCAAGAACAGGATGGTGGCAATAAGTACCAACACAAGAAAACACTTGCATTGACTAAGATAGAATCAAGAATATAATCTACTTTGACTAGCAATAGCCTCATCACAGGAAAATGACATTTTTCTTGCCAAGTATTAATTTAAGCCTGCATGTTTCCTTTGTTTGCCTTTCCAGTTCCTAAACTTGGCACGCTCCTTAAGAGATCATTGAGTTATCAGGGTCCAAAGGAGGCATGCTTAACCTCTCAGGGACCCTTGGGGCTTAAGCTGGCCTAGGAAAGAGGTACCTGGGGATGAGGCGACTGGGGAGCTGAGGGTTCAGGTTTTAAGCCGTTCCACCCTGCTCCCTCTGCTAGTGACAGAGCTGCTTTGAAATGGAACCCTTATCTGGACTTGGGGACTTGTCAAAGAAAAGCTGATCTCAGTCAAGAGAAATGCAGACCTGGTGCTCTGAGTTCTTAGGTTGATCTGTGACACAGAGATAAATGCAGGTACAACTGAAAAGGAAAAAAACAGCAAGCACAATCTGTCAGACCATTGATTAACCAAAATCGGTGCGACTCCAAGCAAGCTGAGGAAGGAAATAAACACGCGGCAAATAAACCAGACTGCCAGGTGACACCTCAGCCAAATCAGAGGCAGACACCGACCAGTGCCACGGTGCGGCTGAACACAGGCTGGGGAGCAGCTGCAGAGGGAGTTGGAAATGATAAGGGCTTTGAAGAGTCGCTTTTACAGTCAAGTCCTTGAAAGAGAAACTCAAGAGATAGGCACTTCAAGTGTAGTCCTCCGGATAAGAATTTGTTGATTATAAACTGAGCGGAAACTGTGAATGCCTCATCCCTTCACATGCCTCTCAGCCACTGGCAGGAATACGGACCCTCCCCCCTCCCCACTGAGAACGGAAAGGTGAGCACCCAAAGTGTGTACTCTGCAGCACAGGTAGCTGCTATTCAAATTAAACCTAAAGAGGTTAGAGGAAGGGGAAGTATGCATCCTGGCTGTAAAACTGCCCAGGAATAAATTATACAAATTAGCTCCCTGCTTTGAAGTACAGGTGTCCTTCATTAACAGTCAAGGCCCTGTGTGCACACTGAACACACACTTGATTTGCAAACCAAACCACCCAGCCAGAGCCCAGGTCCACGTAAGTGTCCTTGGATTAAAAAAGAAAAAGAAAAGCCCAGAATATTTCACACCAAAAGTGGAGCGTTTCCCTCAGGTCTGTTTGCTGTTCTGAACGAAGTAAACACGCTTTACAGTCTTGGTGGGCACTCAGCTGTGCTCACTCCCCTGGAGAACAACGGGCCGCTCTTCATGTGGAGAACACGGAAGTACACCCAGACACCAGTGGGAGACCAGGCGGTCTGAGCAGCCCACGCAGGACTGAAAGGATGAAGTAGAATTCCCCCTGTGAGTAGCCCGGGCAGCACCCGAGGTCCACATGAAGGGAGAGACAACCAATTATCTGAATTATACTTCTACCTGCACGTTCAACGTGAATTGTGTCTTCAAAGGTTTTGACTCGATTACAGGCCCTCG